CCAAACCCAGCCAAACCCAGCCAAACCCAGCAAACCTAGCCAAACCCAGCCAAACCCAGCCAAACCCAACCAAACCTAGCAAACCCAGCCAAACCCAACCAAACCCAGCCAAACCCAGCCAAACCCAGCCAAACCCAAACGCAGCCAGACCCAGCCAAACCCAGCCAAACAACAAGAATACAAATACGAACAACAGAAAACTGAGTTAAATCAGAAGTGAGATATCTTTCATTGAATATCATATAGATTAAATATTTTTTTCAGAACACATGAGCTTTTGGGGCCACTTTTCCTTTTCAAGTAGCTATTTTAAAAACACCAAAGATAGTGAAAAGATACACTAGGGAGCTTTTATCTTTTGGTTTACTGCACCCTGGAAATGTCTTCTAACATTTACTTAGAAAATCTCTGCTAGAAGGTTTAATCTACACATAATGAAATCGCAACTATTATTATTATTTTTTGTATGTGTGAGGAAGATCAACCCTGAGCTAACATCCATGACAATCCTCCTCTTTTTGCTGAGGAAGAATGACCCTGAGCTAACATCTATTGCCAATCCTCCTCCTTTTTTTCCCTTTTTCTCCCCAAAGCCCCAGTAGATAGTTGTATGTCATAGTCGCACATCCTTCTAGTTGCTGTATGTGGGACTCCGCCTCAGCATGGCCGGACAAGTGGTGCGTCGGTGCGTGCCCGGGATCCGAACCCAGGCTGCCAGTAGTGGAGCGTGCGCACTTAACTGCTAAGCCACCGGGCTGGCCCCGCAACTATTATTTTTAATATAAATAAAATACTTCAAAAATTAAAGCAGATTAAAATTTGCAACAGATAGTGAATACTCTGGAAAACAACATTTAACTGTGCTTGGAATTGTAATTCAAAAAAAGGGGAGCACAGGAGTGAAGGTGGAAACATGAGCTTAGTTGATTAAACATGAATATGTCATTTATTTGTAAATATATTAAATCAAGAAAATAAACAAGGTAAGAAAAAATCTCTGTATTTATTCAGTCCTGATTCATAAGCCATTTTACCTTAGGAAAAATTTTAAAATTTTTGATAAAAGAAACATAACCTTTCAGATGAAAAGAGTATATCTCAAAATCCTAAAATGGTTTTGTGTAATCAAATAACATATAAAGAACAGACAGAGATGACTCAAAAATAAATCATCTGGAAGCCTTGTTTCTGGTATTGATCACTTTTTCTTTCACATCTAGTGATATCTCTTTTGTATTAATCCATGTAAATTACTATGTCTACTATTTTTCTTTGGAATATGACACAGTGTTTTAAGAAAATTATTAGGAAAAATACATGGTGATGATTTATGCTAGACCTACCAAAGCTTATCACTTCTAAAATCAAAGAAAATTATGTACACATTACAAAGATTTTTCTCTTGGGTTTATTGAAAAAATAGGAAAACAATCTTTGAAGACTTAGAAACAAATGCACAGTGACATCTGGATTTGGTTTAAGTATCAGATAACATCCTTATGTTAAAATTTCTCTATCAACAAGCTACAAAGAAAGTGAAAAGTTTTCATCATTATCTTTTAATTTTTGGAACTTACTTTCAAAATCCAGGAAAAAATGTGGATAGTTTTCAATTTCCCTGGTAAGGACTTTGAGCAGGTTTCCCATCCCAGCAAACCTAGGAGAGGCAACACAAAACCAAATACCATTAGCAGTATAAAAAATAGACTTCTTAAAGGGCTGGACATAGTTGATGAGCTTCCATAAATACCACTGGACCCCCAATAACTACACTCAAAGACCAGATAGAGCAGTGATTCCAACACCGGGAGATGACTAATAACTTAGCAACTCATTCCTGAATCAGTGGCTGATAAATATCTCTGAGGTGCTGCATCTCTAAAACTTAGGGACATCTGGCCTAAACCATGCAAAGTATAACAATGAGAAAAACGTCATAAGCTCTCTCTGGAGAATACACTTGCATCCTGTGTCTCGTTCACTGTAAAGAAAATTAACTGAAGAACACTCTATTCAAAGAATCAGGAGGTGGAGTTTAGGTATATTCTATGAAGTGTTTCCATTTCCCCTTCACTAATCCCCTGAATCCTAACAGTTAATATTGCAGCTTTGCTATGTTTCTGTTCCATTGATGTGGGGATATACCATGTCAATGGACAGGCACAACACTGAGGCCATTATTAAAATATCTGTCCAGAAAGGGAAGTTTCTTAATGTTCCTGAGGAAAAGGGATTAGAAAACACAGATTTACAGCCCCAGGGACCCTTCTTGGTCTGTACAGGAGGCCAGATTTCCTAGAACTGCAACTTCCAGGCAAGTCAGAGGCTCTCATAACTTCACATTTCAATAGTAACGATCTGGGGACATCATGAAGCATAAAAAAGAAAAGGCATAAGATCCAAAAAGTTATTCTCAATGAAATTGCACAGGTGAGTCAAATCAACAGAAAAATACAAATTTGTTACATATTTGCAATCTCAACCTAACAAAAAGAATAGGGAAAATGTAGTTATTATTTAAGTAAACAGCAAAATTTCTACTGCTCTCAACTGTAGACATTAAACTATCTTCTTCAGGAGGTCATCATCCATTCCTTCAGTCAGCATGTATTTATGGAGTCACAATTCCATGCTGGGTGCTATGCTCTTTGGAAGGCATTTCTCTAACTCACAACTCAGATACCTCAGTTGTGAAGGATCAACTTGTAAAATCACTAGACCAGTAGAAGGGAACTGCAGGGCTGCAATTTCTATGCACATGGCTTCTGACAGTGTTTATGCTGACACAAGGAGTTTTTTAAAATATGCCACTATCAGAAAGATGCGGTGAGAGAAGAATGCACTAAAAGGATGATTTTGTAGCCAGCAGCTCCCTTGGGTGCAGAAGGTGGTGTAATCTAGTCTCCATAATCCTCCCCTGAGAAAACACTCATACACTTGCAGACATCACCTGGTATGGTATAAGCTGCTAAAGGGAAGCTAGAAAAGAGACTGCTTAGGGAGGTCGATTTCAATCCTAGCTCTGTTTCCTGCTAGCTCTGTTATTTAAGGCAAGCTACTTCATCTCGCTAAGCCTCAGTGTTCTCATCTGTAAAAGGAATTTTTGAATGTAGCTATTTCATCAATTCATGAGGATTAAAAATACAAAAATATAAAATGCTTAGCACAGCACTTATAGGAAGTGCTCAAGAATGTTATGTGCTTTTACCATTGATGAAGATGATGATGATAATTACCACCACCATCATTATCATGATTATCATAACAGCCTTCAAATACTTATTTACGATTTTCCTATGGAAGATGGATTAGATAGGTTACGCGGCTCTAGGGAAGAGCACTAAGATCGTTGAGGAAATAATGAGACAGATCTTCATTCAACATCATGAAAAAATTTCTAACCATCAGAGTTGTCTGAATATTGAGTGATTTGCCTTGTGCAATAGTGAGCTTCCTGTCACTAGTGGTTTTTAAGTAGAAATACACTATATCAGCTCTTAAAAATATTGTAAAAATGAGCTATATGTTGGGAAGAAGGTTGGATAAGATACTTCTTAGACTTCTTCCATCTTGAGGTATATAAATATTTGGGCAGGCACGCACATGTGCACACACACACACACACACACTACATGCACACACACATGCACAAAATGGGAAGCAAACACCACGCTTGTCTCTTCCAAAAGATTCTTCCTTATTCTTTCTGTCATTCTTCTCTTCCTCCCTTGCCTTGATGCACATTTCCTTTTAAGATATTTTTGAGCAAAGCCCTGTTTGAGGTAGGTTCTGCCAAAATAAAACTCAGAACTGGTCTAGTCAATCCCTGCCACTGAGCAACATTCACAAACCCTCCTGGATCTCTCGGAAAGAATCTGTTTCCAGCTTAAGGAACAATTCCAATTCAGACCCAGAGGCATTTCTTGTAGGAAGATGATTCTACTGTTTAGGAGCAGCCCCAATTTTGATACAAAATGCCTTAATGGAAGTTAAATATTCTTAATCTCCCTAGTTTGGTGCTATTAATGTGTCATAAGAGACCCGAATGGATTTAGCTTCCTCTGAAAATTCTGTCTTGTGCACGATTTTACTGTCAAAGTATCTAGCTGAGAAATATGTCAAGCCTTTAAAATTAGTTACAGACTGAAAGGAACACACGTGGAAATACATCCAAATATTAGCTGGCTGTAGAATTCTATCTGTTCAAAAGGTTATTTAAGCTGGCTGGCTGATATGGTCAAATATTTTGGAACATGATTCTAACATCAAACAAGGTCAATTAAGGAACTCTTAGCATCCTAGATGTTTCACATCTGAAACAGGAACTGTCTGGAACAACAACTTCAGGACATTATTATAGTATTAGGGGTCAAGTCCAGTCCTATGGAACCTAGAAAATGTGCATTTCAACACAAACTCCTTGAATAAGTACAGAAATACTTCATCTCCTTCATGGCCAAAAGATTTGATGCTTACTGCTCTCCTCCAAAAGCAACAAGAATTCATAAAAGTATATTGTGGTTTAAGGTCTACAAAGTGAGTTAACATCACACAGATGATCACTGTGTAGAGACCATAGTTGTTTTTAATTGGAACCAGGGCTCTACTTGGAAAGGTCCCTTACTCATGGGGCTTCCACTACAGCATCAGCCATATTCCTCATGATAGAGACTCTCCAATCTTTTCCAACAGCTCCTCAGTGCATACAAAACACATTGTCATGCACCACATTATTGGAGAGGTGGCTTAATTAATTAAGAAGGAGATTATTTCAAAATATTTTATCTTGTTCAATAAAAGATTTTAAGATAAGTTATTATACACTATCAGAGAATGCAAATACTTACGTAATGAAAGTGGAGGGAAGAGAAGAATACCAGTAGAATAGGAAGATGAAAGTAGAGAGGCAAGTAGTACACAAGCTACAGGTCATCTAGGCCATAAAGTCTCCACATTCACCGGACATGACTTATCAATTTGGACCTGAGCTTCCAACAGCCAAAGCAAAGGAGAAACAATGGTCTGTTTCAAGATTTGGTATTCAGAAAATAAAAACAAATGGGTTTCACTGAATCAGTACTGCATTTTTTGATTCAAAAAAAAGAAAAGAAAAGGAAGTCATCATGGCTAAGAGACAGTTGAGACAAAGAGAAATCTCCTCCGGCCAAGAGGAGACTCACACAGAGGAAGCCATATCGGAGGAAGGGCTGTCTCAGAGTTCCAATAGGCACAGCGGTGGTTTTGCAGCCAAATGGGTGGCAAAGCAGCCTGGTCGGCAGTCCAGGGCTGTATTTGGGAAAGCTGGAAATCTGGTTTCCAGGTTCTATTTGGTGACTCCATGGCTACACTCCTAACGTGACCTGCTGCTGTCTGTCCCAAGAGATGTCAGCTACTTGCCACTCTCCTTTACGGTGCAGAAGCTTATATCAGAGAGGAATACCTCAACCCAACCGGTGTTCTGAGCCCCCTGGGAGGACTTTAACCCGAGGACCTTAGCCTGAGTCCCTTAAAACGATGATTCTGATGATGATTCTTGGCTGTTTCTATAGGTAAAGGAACTGCTTACGTAAGTTCCAGGGATAGGAGAAGTCTCCCCAATAATAAAGGAGGGGGAGGAGAACCAATCTGAAGAAGGAAAAAAATAGAGTAAAAAATGTAGATACAAAGGTACTCAAATATTAGAAACAGAAGTCATAAAGGAGGATAAGAGGGATTCCAGGCATAAAAGAGCTCAAGCAATAACGTATAGAGCAGGTTTATTCTTTAAAGGTAGCATGTTATCTATATTGTAAAGTTTAGGCTTACTTTAAACTCACACATACACACACATCGACTCCCTTGGCATCTTCAGAGACCATCTTAAAGTGAAACCTCCCTGGGACGTGATATAGTTACAGTGTGCACATGAGTGTTGTGAGATCTGAATTCATTCCTGTGAGGAGGGTCTGGTAGGGGCGCAGCAAGGGAAGTACAAGGTCTTGGCTACCAGGTGGAGAGACAGGAAAGGATATACCAGCTGGATAAGTACTCATGAAGGCATGGGCCTGCAAATACACTCACTGACTCTTTTACTTGAGATGTTTCCTGCTTTTGGAGAATGGCATTGGAAAGTGGTCCTCTTTTCATTGGTGACCACTCTGAATGGCCTTTTGCTCTTAGAGGCACCAGTCTTCCTCCATGGCTGGATTTCCCAGGACTGCTCCTTCTCTACCAAAGTGAAGGTATGTGGGCATCTGGGCCACTGGGTCTTCAGCATGACGGCTTTAGCTATTTGCTGAGCCTGTTTTCCTGTGGCATTGCAAGCTGGAAGTTACTGACAAAGATTAAGACATAGGCTTGAGAATGTGAAGCACAGAGGAGGCCAAAATAACAATATGACCAACTGATATTTTCAAAAGACATATAGTGTAAGTAGCAGATGAATGAGATCATAGAGAAAAGTTTGAAAGAGCTGCACAAATATAAGCACATCTAATTCTCCCATTATTCTGGAGCAACTCATTTTAGCTGTGAGTCTTGGGTCCTCAGCTATACAACAATCATGTAATTATATCTCCTGCATGGGATTCTTGCAAGGACTAAATGAAAGAAGTGTAAAAGCACTGTGTACGCTGTAAAAATCTGTGCAAACATTAGCTATAATTATTCAACATTACA